CTAATCACAGAGGACACGCATGTCCATCAGTCCTGCGTGCACACAGGAAGAGCTGCTGTGGTTCTCCACACAGAAGGCAGTATCTCCACAACCAATTCCAAAGAGGCACGCATGACGAACACTCCACTAAGTGGAAGGCCTCTCTCAGTGCCGAATCATACGTGGGTGTTTTCAGAGTCCTTGGAGCTTTTATGTGTTGCCAGGGGTTCAAAGAATCTCATTGTAGGGCTTATAAATTTTCTGAAATTACGTAGGCCCACAGGTTTGTTTAACCTACTCACTCTTAATATCTGTTAAGATTCGAATTTGGAATGTCCCCCACAGGTGTGCGAGTTGAAGACTTGGTCCCCAGAAAGTGATGTCCAGAGAGTCTTTTAGGAGTGATCAGATCCAAGGGCCCCGACCTCAGCCCAGGATCAGTCCATCTGATGTGCTAATAATTGGATGGGTCTACTGGCAGGAGGTGGGAGCCGTCTGCTGGTGGGCCTGGTTGGAGGAAGAGTCCCTAGGGGTGCACCACGGAAGGCTTTCTCTTGTCCCCAGCCCACCCCCACCCTCTTTCCCTTCCAGCTTCCCGGCCACTGTGACCAAGCAGCTTTTCTCCATGGTGTCCTCCTGCCCTGAGGTTCTGCCTCACCTCGGGCCAGAGCTATGGAGCCCGTCGTCCATGGGATGGCCCTCTGAAACCCTGAGTCAGAGGAAACCTTCCCTTCTTTAAGTTGTCCATGGAGAATAGTTTGGTCACGGTGACCTAAAGCTGAATAACTCAATATCCATGGATATTTTTTCATATTGAACATTTTTTTTTAAACTTGTACATTTTATGAGTAGGCTGCTTTGTAGACACAAAGGAATTTTAAAAATCTACAAACACAGCCAAAATTTACCTAGAATTGGAACATTTTACTAGAACCTAACAAAATAAATGTTAAGAAACTTTTAAGATTCTGTGACCTTTTCCATCCCAGGCTAAAACCAACAGATAAATGTGCTAGGAGGGCCACGTGCTTCCGATGGGGGTGCCATATGAAGTGGAGAGTCACTGTTAGCACTGCTGTGGAGTCTGTATTTCTGCAGCTCATGACAGAAAGCGCCTCTGAGGAGCTATTCACTCCTCACCGTGAGACCATGGGTCATCTTCCCTTTTCCCTGTTGAGTCCTACCATACTCCTTGGTATTCAATAGATATTTCTTTGAAGAATCACTCAAAGAAGCTTCTAGATAAGAAGCAGAGAAGGAGAAGAAAATGGCATGTAAACTTTGAGTCAAGAACAGAGCCGTCACTTAACTGTGGTCTGTGCTAGAGTGAGACCAGGTTCACAGGCTACGCCAAAGTGGACCCAGGCTCAGAGGCCACACACATGACAGTGGACCCAGGCTCAGAGGCTGTGTCATTGTGAGAACAATAACATGAAGTGTGGGTCACAGCTCCAAGGACCCAATGTCTACTTGGATTGATCTGTAGTCATAATTTCCAGTAATGAAAAGCAGCCTTTCTATTGAAAGATAATTTAAGAGTCATCTTTCTTTATTCCTGACCTAGATTGCTGAGGTGATCTTCCGTGGCCCGGATGTGTGGTGATTGACTCTTGTGATAATATCAAAGACACAGAAACACACAGACCTCTGTGTTTAGGGTCTGTCCTGGTGCATCTGCCCAGGCATGTTTTAATAAAGGCAGAGTGTGGCCCTTCAGCCCAGAACCGGAAGGAAACAGTGGGGGACGCACAGGCCACACAGGACTGGGGCTGCCTGAGGAGCAGGTCCCACAGGATGGATCAGCCCCACCGCGTCCTGTCTGCTAATCCTCGCTCCTGCTCACACAGAGCTCCCTCAGGGGACTGTTCGCCCTGGCAGAGGGTGGACATTAAAACCACATCCTGTGCCTGCAGTCCCCAGTACATCCTGAGCTAATGCAATCTCCAGTCACCACCAGTTAATAGCTGTCATGGCCAGAGGGAGGCCAGGTGAGCAGACATCTTCCCATACAGTCTGCAAATTAAATTCAAGAAGATCATCAATATATATTCTTGCAAAGAGCTCAGCAGAGATTTGTTAAGTAAGTAATTTGATTTTCTCTTGGTTCTGCTGCTCTGGAAAAAGAACCTGAGTACATTCATCCATCTCAGGGAAGCCTGGGGGTACTGAAGGACCCCTTGATGTTCACTTGAGGGTTTTTTTTTTTTTTGGTATCATGAAAGTTGAGAAAATAAAAGACCATTAACAGAAATGGGAATTTTAAATACCTCACTTAGGGTGACTTATCTCATTTTTAGGCGATCTCTCTTCCCACATGGGTCCAGAATCCCAGAGGCCCTCACAAAGGGAACCTCGAGACACGGGGTTGATGGCAGTGGATGCCGTTGGGACATAAAGGAGGTTTTTAATGCCTGTGTGATCTGAGGTGTGTGTCTTGAGACCCTGGGTTCTGTGTGCTGTCTGCTAGTTAGATGATCCCACACATCTGTCATTTCTCCAATTAGATCATGAACTCCATGCTGAGAACATCAGCTGGCATATAAGTGCCTAGAATGTCGGCTGATGCATTGTCTGAAATTACCTGTTTGTTCCAGAAACCAGCGGGGAGCCTCTGACTCTTCTCTTCCTGTAATTTGGTTCACTGAGGAAATAAGTCAGTGGCTCTTCTTTGCTCTGCAGCGGCTGATGAAATGCCCAACTGGTCCTGGTTACATTATGCTTCCCAAAGGGCACCTCAGTTTGATTCAGTTGGCCATTTAGCTTTTCCTGTACAGATTCCAGCTATTGAGAAGAGGCCCTAATAACGCGGATGTCATTGTAATACATAGCTCGCCATTGCTTTCCTAACAACAAGCAGCATTAAAAAAATGAGTGTATGATTTTAGACCCTTAACAGTAACCTAAGGGATTTTATAGGACATTAACTTGCTGCATTTATATTTTAAATTTTGCATTTATTTAAAACTTTCCTTCATTTATTTTAGTGACATCCTTTCTTAAATTAGATGTTATGGTAATAATAAAGCTATTTTACATGGGGTTACATTTATTAGCTCTCCTGAGTTTTCACATGCATTATTTCATTTTTATCCTTACCACAGGCAGGAAAAGTTTATTATACATATTTTATAGCCATGAAAACAGAGGTACGGAGAGGTAAAATGACTTCCCTCAGGGTCACAGAGACAGTAACTAGCAGAGTGGGAGCCAAAGCTCCATCTTTGACTCCGTGTTTCTGCCTGCAGCTCTGTGCCTAGTACGTCCCAGCCCAACCTGGCAGTGTGCACAGCCCTGGGTCAGAAGTTCCTCAGCTCCATGCCTGCCCCCCCACCCCCCCCCCCCGCTAAGACTCTGTTTGCAAAGTTGAGGAAATGCAATTTTCCTCTAGTAATTCAGAAAGGAATGTGACTGCTTGGTAAGAGTCTGGGGAATGTGGCCCTCCCCGTTCTACTGTGGGGCAGGAGCATGGCACATCAGCGTCCAGGGTGGCTGGGAACACAGAACCAAGTGGCTGAAGAACCCCTCACCCCGGACGTGCTCTGCTGAAGTCCTGAAGGCAAGTGAGTCAACCATGGCGATGCAGGTGTGCAGAGAGGTGGACCACAGAGCTGCTCGTGAAATCAGAGAGGGGGCGGGGGGGGGGGGCAAGGCTGTGAGGAGAACCAGCTCCGGCCGCAGCTATTACATGTGTGCTGACGACAGGCAAGACCTTGGATTCAAGCAATGCATAGTCAGGGGGTGGGACCCTGATGGTGAGAAGCTCCCTAGCCAGGTACTTCTCCAGCACACAGATAAGGAAGTGTGCCTGGGGCACTCGGCACAGGGCACGCTGCACTAGAGAGGCTCAGCAGCACCCGGTGCTGTTGGTGAACCTGTCCTAGGTCCTGAGCCAGGGACTTGAGTCTAATTATTAATAACACTGTTTGAAACGGACCAATGGGAAGATGATAGAAATAGATGCTCATTTGCAAAGATGTTCAAAATACAGCAAATGAAAGACAGAGGCTCCAGGGCAGCCTACTGCAGGCCCAGAAATTTGTAAAGCATAGACAGGGTGGTCAGCCTTTCAAAATGTGAATTGCCTCCTAAGTAATCCGTAAAGAAAGGAGTGAGCATAATAACATTCCTTTTCTAGAAAAATAATATGCAGATGTTCTCAGGGGCAACTTCCTCACACATAAAGGGAGATCTTCAGCAACATACAGGTACACTAAGAAAAGAGGTGAAAACCCTGCAGATAGATAGCTCCCCATTAACAAATGAAGTTTCTGGGCCCATGGACTTAAGAGCTAGTCCCTGATGCTCTCTGATGAATGAGACAGGAAGATATTTTTCTCTGTGCTAAAATCATTGATTAATGAGGAAGCATGCCCCCAAATCATACTTTTGATTTTGATAAAACAGTTGTAATAAAAACTGTCAAAACCTGTCTACAAGACCCCACACAGGGGCGTAGCCAAAGTGGTGGGTGAGTAGAGCTGCAGGAGAGACAGACACCAGGTGCAGGTGTAAGAAGAAGGAGCCTTCTGGAGATAGTCACTCCAGGGCAGCTGCTGTTTGTGCCAGGACTCTGGGCACAGGGTTCTGGAGTACGCAGGGAGCTACCCCAACAGTATTTCTCCAGAATAACTGCTGGCTCTGCAGCTTTCCAGCATGCAAGGGTTTCTGGAGAACGTTATTCCAAAAACCATGTCTACTTCCAAAAGCACCTGATAACATAAAACCACGGGGAAGCGCAAAGAGAGAGGCCGAGGGAGGCGTTGAGTGCAAAAACTCGTATTTCCACCTTTTGCCTTCTCTGTGTGTACTCTTTGTTTGCTATAAACATATTTCTTTTTTTTAATTTTGGAAAAACAGTTGATAAAGTTAAAACAATCTGCCAGTAGTTCTTCTGCAAAGTCCCGCAGGAGGCCGTTAGGCAGCCAGCTCCACACTGTGCAGCACCTGAAGTGGAGCCCCGAGCATGCCCGCGTTTGCCATGCAATGCCATATTTACAGGAGAAGAAAAAGGACATACTCACACATACAAGACGGATCTGGTGTCCCCCACCTTCCCGGCGTCCCCTACTGTCAGAGTGTCGTACCCTCTTTCCAACTCAAACTCTTCAAAGGCGAGCTTGATGACCTGGATGCAAAGCACAGACAGTTACTGAGCAGAGGGAGCTTCCGCCACTCTTCATGCTGCACACGCAGCTCTAGACCAGAGTTCCCTCCTTAATGCCAATGGATTACAGATGATCTGCAAGCTTCTTTAAGTACCTGCTGGGATAATTGTATAAATTCTAGTGTCTTTAATTAGCAGAAATTTATAGAATTCTAAATTTCTATTTCTTCCAAGTTATTTATTTCTCACTATAAAATGAAGTTTAACCATGACCATACTTTAAGTCAATATCCAGCAAATATCTATTTTAAAATTTAGGTTGTTTAGACTAACCACACGACATATGATCAAAAGAGACATTGATTGCAGTTAATAAGGCATGTTTTGAGGACACCAAGAACACCCCACGTCAATGTTTTTAATGTGATTTAATTTTTCACTATGAACTTTTTATAAAAAGGTCTTTCTGACTCCAAGTTGCCCCGACAACTCATTGCTTACAAAGCCTTGAAGTTTATTTCTACTTTACTTTTCCTGCCTCTTGCCCCAGTACTGAGAATGCAACCTAGGACCTCATGTGTGCTAGGCAAGTGCTCTACCCCGAGCCTCTTTATCTACATACACATTAAAAAACTCTGTAGGTCACAGGAAACTTTCCCCCGAAAGGAAAAAAAAAAATGTTTGTTGACTCATATTGTGAGTAAAGAGAGAGACAGCCAGCACTATCCTGAAATTAGTCTAGAACACTGAGTACCACGGTTTAGAAGGAAGAGAAATAGATCATGTTAGATAAGTGGTAGATGATAGAGGGATGATATGTGGATAAATAAATAGATGATGGATAGATGATGGATGGATAGGCTATACAGAGATGGAGGATATGTAATAGGAGGGTAGATGATGAATGATTGTTGATAGATGTAAGATAGACAGATGTCAGATAGATAGACGGGTGGAAGAGAAACAGACATGCAGGGCAGGAGGAAGACAGGAGGAAGGAATGGAAACGCACAACTCGTAATGTTGGAAGCACATTTTGGGAGCTATTTCTGCGTAAAGCTGAAACTTGGAAGCTTACCCCTCAAGTCTCTGTCTGTTAAACTTGTCAGGAGAGAGAAGGTGATAACACGGAATGCTCATTTCAATGTGCGCAGTGTTCCCGGGGCCTGGACAGGTGCTTTTCCAATCAATGCTAATAAGGAATACATTATTTTTGGTATTTGAAATTCTAACTAAAATTAGTGACATACCCATTATAATTTGTTTTAAAAACTAGTGTTTCAAATTGCAGTGTTTATATGGATGTCATTCTGGTGCTCGGTCAGGAAACAAGTGTGGGGTGATCACATTGCTGATCTGCATAAATCCTGAACATCACATGGAGCGCCCGGTGGCAGCTGTAGTCTGCCTTCTCTGGCGCGGTTCTGTTTAGGGGCGACCACGTCCAACTTGAGCCAGAGGGACTTCTCTAAGACCTGGCTGCCTTGCCCAGGGCCTTGGCGCCAGGCTGTGACACTGCATCAGGCTTCAGGGCCCTGGGGACCAGTGCCTAACAAGTTGCAGGTTGGGCGCACCACCTCAGTGCATCTGACCGTTTCCCGCTTTTCCAGGAAAGTGAAGGCTGCCGTGGGGTCTCCGCAGAGTCCAGTCTCCACACTCGGCAGTCGCCCTGGCCTACTGGACATCTGAACTCCTGGCTACTGAGGCTTGGTAGAAAGGGAAAACACAGGCTCAGGCCCCTCTATGACACCTGCAGTCTATCAAAAAATGCAGCCTTCCATAAACGTGGGATTGTGAAAGAAGTTTCTATATTTTAATTGAACTTCCCATTCAGAGAGGTAAATGAAGAGAGGCTGACAGGATAATGCATTTTAACTTGTGGATGACATGGTGACATTTAGCCACTGGGTGTCTGTCCCTCCCACACCTAGTCTGCCCGGCCGCTGAACCCCTCAAGTCTCTGCATTGTTAAAAGTTCAAGGTGCAGATCCATTTGTCCCTAAATGCTAACTTTGTACCAAAACCTGTTCTGAGACTAAATGTAGCCATTCAGCTGGTGCAAGAGGCGTTACTGGGGTTACAGGTGTGTTCCAGGTACAAGAAGGTGGGTTGAGAAGATGAGCCATTTCAACTGCCTGATCTACAACCCCTCCCTCTCTAGCTACCTGGAAGTACAAAACAGTATCACATGAAGGAGTGATCTTTCCTGGGTCCTCTGACTTAAAATTTCCTTGGACTGCTAGAAATGCATTCTATGCTTTCATGCAAAAGACATTTGGGTAAATCAAGAATAAAGCAGACGTGGTATAATGTGATGATTTTCAAATAAATTAATATTATCTGTATTTTCTTTCACTTTGGTATAGGACTTGGAAGGAAAGATTGTTACACACCAAGCATAATATGATTATGCATAGTTTTATGTAGAGCATAGTAAATTGGATACACCAGTTAAGTAGAGGTTATTTTATAGAATAAGTAAAGCCTTTAGATGCTAAAAAAAGCCATAGTTTTGATTATTGAAGAATGCTATCATGCTATCAGAGGGTAATTTATTTCACATAATTAGTACAAAATGAACTCTACTTTAAAAAATAAAAAAGCCTCTAAACCAATATGCAATGTTTTCCCTTGATATCCCTCTTGATAACCCCTTCTTGGAGGGTCCCCACAGTGTTTTTCCTAACTGTTCCTTACCTTTCCTAAGAAAGGAGTTGGGGGAAGGGATGTAAAGAAAGCAAGTAGGGTGGGTTTCCTTAACACCTGTGTCAACACTAAGAGGAGCACCTGGGACCTGGCAAACCTCAGGGTCCCCAGATAGGGTACATGCCAGCAGGTACACTCGCACCATCCTAGGAAATCTAGGCACTAGACAAGGGCCCCATCGGGGGGCCTGAGGGAACTCCAGGGGTCCTCCCTGCACGGTGCCTTCTGACCACCAGGGTCTCTGCACTCCCTGTGAAGGCCAAACCCAGGGACCAGCCATGACAGCAGGGTCTCTGTTCAGAGGACCCCAGAGCTCTGAGAAAGCCGCACTGCCCCACACTCGAGGCGCCCTGCGCTCGGCAGCACCTTGCTGTGGTCTGCGTGTTTGCGTGGTCAAGACCCACACACTGAGATGTCATCCATCCCCTGGTGGTGATAGGGTGACATGGGGCACGTGAGGACCAGGGCCCTGCCAAGGAGGCCAGAGAGACCTGGCCCTGCCAGCGTGGGAGCACCCAGCCCGCAGGTGCCCTCTGTGAACAGGAGGCAGGAGGGAAGCTGCCTGAGTTCTGGACTCCAGCTCTGGCTCTGAGAGAGCTTGACTTGTGTGGCCCCAGGTGCATTGTTACGCAGCCGAGCTCCTTACAGGAGCAGCAGAGTCCACTCCCAGGAGGGCCCAGGAGGGCCCAGGAGTGCTGGGCTGACAAGGAAGTTCCCAAAGGAGAAGTGCAGACCACCAGGACCTCACTCCCACCCCCCTAGCCTGTGGGACAGCTGAACCGCCTCGTGCAACCGGTTTGGCAGAGCCCTGGGCTGTGCCCGTGGACAGACCTGGAGACAGAGTGGGTCAGTGAGATGTTGCCATGACTTTTTTTGGTTGCTTTATTTTGTCTGTCTATCAGTCTTAAGTTCACCCTGTATGTTTTCAGGACTTCTCTCTAGAAACATGCTTCAAATTGTAGAAGGTACTGTCGTATTCACCCACGGCAACATTCCTGGTGTCCATCTGTTTCTGAAGGCCATGAGCTGACTACTCTGCTCCAGGTCTCCGTGCTGCCTGGCTTTTGAGGTGGCATTTTTATCCCTACTGTTCATTATAATTCTTAACATAGCTATTTTCAGGTAACTGAGAGATCATCACAAAATGTTCTTAGAAACATAGCGAAATTTCATCTTCCTTTTCAATCTATAATAAACCCATGAATCCACGTTGGCTAGGAACATGGACATGTACATACCCTCTGCCAAGTGAACAGACCATTAGTGCATTGATTCTGTGTAGAAAAGCCAGCCTAATTCCATAAATAATAGGCTTCACAAGTTTTCTTGCAATGACACAGTATGAAGAACTCATGCACACACACCCCTAAGTGTCTGTAGCTCTTCCCTAAAACCCATGCAAGAGTCTCCTGGTATTTCATCATCTTTTTAATTGTAAATCAGGAGACCAATGAAATGCTGTACTGAATATGTTGGAAATCCAAGTTTAAAGCTCACATTTCTCTGAGAACCGCCGATTACTTCAGTGAGCGACGCTGAAATAAGAATGTGACTGTGGATATAGTCACAACGTGAGCAGGTCATTACAAAAACAGTCATAATAATTAGAGGCAGGGAAAGGAGTTACTGAAAAGCCCCAGTATTCCTTGAAATGCTACTGGGAGCAGATCCTCAAGAACAGAACTTGCCCCAGCAGGACCCCATGTCACCCCCACACCAGTGCCGCCAGTCCTGCATCAACGGTCCGGCACCCACATACCGCTTTAATATTTTGGCAGTGATGAGAAAGTCATGAATTGGAAGCCAGAATATTAACCTCATATTATTTCGGTGCCTAAACCACATGAACAGATTTTAAACTACACTAATGCACTCGCAGACTGAATGGCTAAAACCATTGTTTTCAAGAAAAGCACAGATTGTTTATCTATTATTTTCCATCGAACTATGATGAGAATCATAAGTAAACAGCTATTATCACTGTCCTCAGCCTGCTTATAGTAAATGTGGAAACATAATTCTGTATACTTCACTGAAAACATATCAGGATGCTACACATAATAAATGAACATCATCTTAGTTTTTAAAATAAGAAATTAGAAAATTTTCAAAATAAGAAAAGTTATGTCAGGTCCTGAGTAACTCCCAAGCTGTTAATTCTAAATGTGTACTAGACACTTTTTGATGTAATATCGAGGGGTGTCTAAAAGTCATGTCTAAAATTCTCTCTCTTGAATTTCCAAAAGAGAAATCTGGCACCCTTATCTCCCTACCTCATTCCTCTCCCAAACTTTCTGTCCTTCAACCAGCACCTC